TGTGGAAGGACAAAATATAGAAACTTTTCTACGCACTGTTGATAAATGAGGCCCCAGATATTTTGGAGAATGTTAGTAACCAAACAGTTGACGGTACCCATTGACTTCCATAGTATGGAAAAAAAAAATACTCTGGACCGTCAACTGTTTGGATACCAGCATTCTCCAAAATATCTTCTTTTGTGTTTGACAAAAGAAACTCATACAGGTTTTGAACAAATGGAAGGTGAGCAAATTATGATTTAAATTTTTGTGTGAACTGTCCGTTTAAATCAAACAAAAAAAGCTTCAAGATAAATCACAACATTTCAAACTGCAGTTTGATCAGTTAATAACATCAGAGCTCATTGTAGGTTTGTTGTGAAATGTTTATACAGAATTACAGTTAGCATGAAATGCAAATTCACCACATCTGTTTTCTAAATGCATGTTATTGATGATTTTGTGATCTATTCATTTGTGCATATATGCATTTTTGGCACTGTGTTTAATCAAAATCATATACACTCAGATGTATGTCACAATACAGAAGAAAAGATATGTTGCTACTTTCGTTTTATCACAAGTATTTACCTAATACAAATTTTACCTAATACTAATTGCTAGTTTTAGATTTAATCACCTTCAACAAAACTGCAAATCAAGTTTTTGTTGCAAAATATATTATATAATTTCAGGGATTCTCATTAGTTACATCTGCAACATTTACAATAAAAAAAACAAAACGGAAATGACTTAAAATAAACCTTATTTATTTTGCAGTGCATAGTAACAAACAGGTCCTTAGGGAAGTTCTGTAGTTGTGTTTGTGGCTATTCATTGTCTGGAGAGGGAAATGAAAAATAGAAAGGACTTTTAGCCCCATTGTACCCTATATCTTTGCTGGTTTTGAAAGTAGAGAACTTACAATCTCCACAACCTTCTTGCAAGAGGAAATGAAATGAGTGTCACTTATACCATGTCTTCAAACAGACTCTACCTCACCCCTCAACTGTGTATCACAGTCTACAAAGCACGTTTTTTCCACTCACCTGCTCACGCATATATTCCTGCTTAAACCTGTACATAAACATGCACACATTTACACTAAAAAGTCACATACGTGTGATAGCAACCTCTCTCACGTGTGTGTATACTGCTTTCCCTTTCACTTGTGATGTGGGACCAAGTGTCAGTCTTATTCCCTGTTTCTGAGGACAGTAAAAATGTGTCTGACTGAATGAATTTCACTGTGCTGTGACCGAGCTAACAGATTGCTTAGCACATTATTTTGCTTTAATCAAGTGCTGGAGAAGCAGCACAGGAAGATGGCTCCTGAGTAACACAGACCTCATTTTTTGTCAGCCCAGTTCTGTGGTCCCTGTGCCTCCAAACCTGACCTGTTCATGTGCGCCCATAAATCTCACACAAGAACTTTACATGAACTCTTCCCCAGCAAAGGACACAGCCAGACCCCCAAAATAGTTTAACCAGACGCATAGATGCATAGCAGGGTTTCAATGTCCTTTTTGACTGATACTGTGTCAGTATGGCTCCAGGAAGTGACACGCAGCCTCCATTTAAAGTGACACAGAGGAACAAAAGGGCAAAAAGGACAGTCTCACTGTGACTAGCTAAACTCAGGCACGGAGCTCCCATGAGGCCATGCATCTGACTCGGGCTCAATCTAACCCACCAGCACTGCAGACATGCACTGCCCACAGTCACAATCTACTGCACCAGCAAGGGTCAGCACAGCTGAGCCCTGCACACAGACCCTGTTCTTGATAACGGGGAATCAGGAAGCCATTTGTTTTGCTGGACGTCCAAACCTGGTTTACAGCACTTTTATTAGAACAGAATTCAGTCCTTTACACCTAGCCAGATCATGAATATGTTGATTGAGACTTTGACTCTTAAAGGGGCCATATCATGATATTTTGAAATAAAAGTTCATTGTACTATGACATCAGACTGTAACTTTCAGAACTTCTTCCCTTGTCCAAATTTAAAGGGCATTTACTGAAACTACGCAGCAAAAATTTATTTTTCTGAATAATAATGACCACCAACATTTACATATTAGCAATTCTTATTTGGTGTCCACTCACAATGACAAAGTAGGATAGGTAACATTATTGTTAAAACACCAGAAGGACTGACGATTGGAGTAAAATGTTGGATATTGCATCAAACTTTGTGCTTTTCCTGGCTGTGTGTAGCACCTACACTCTGCAGATCTTATAGGATCCCAGTGTTGAAGGAATAATTCACCCAAAAATGACAATTCTGTCACCATTTACTCATTCTCATGTTGTTCCAAATCCAAAGACTTTTGTTTATCTTTAAATACAAATGAGGATATTTTTAATATATTCTCCTATTTTTTGTCCATTTACTTAAAGTCCACGCAATCGAAGGTTTGACACATCAAAAAGTACAGAGACCTCCTAACAGTAATCTACATGAATCAAGCAGTTTAAATCACATCTTGAGACACAAATGCTTTATATGTTAATTTAGTATGTTGTTGTTCAAATACGAACATATATATAATCAAATATGGTTTTTACCATTTTCTGTAAGAAAAAATAAACAGTAAAAAAAAAAGGATGGGAAAGGGGAAAATACTGCCAGGACAATATCCCTTAAATAAAATTTATGATCACATGATTTTCATTTTTGGGTGAAATATTCCTTTAAGAAACATAATTTTTAAGGTTTCAGTGCACATTTCAGAGCAGATTGGATCCAGTTTACAGATGCGTACAGCAAAGCCCTGTTGCTCATTTCACATGGAAATAAACTGTTTATGACTTAAAGGCAAAAAAGCCTGTTCAATGTTGAAGATCAGCAACAAGATGTAAAAACAGTTATTAAAAACTCAATTATGACTATTGTCGGAGCAAAAAATTATAAGTGGACCTCATGGGAAAAATGTTAAACAATGATAATAATACAATGTATGATATGACTCCTTTAATAGATCTTAAGAAGGGCATAGTCTTCTCAACAGCCCTCTGGAAAATTCACACGCACCAAGAAATCCCATGTCAACTACATGTCCACAGTCTGCAATGTAGCAAGCCATATTTGAGGTCCAAAATTTCAAGTGTGAAAAGAAGACCTGCCATTCCTTTAGAAACAAATACCCTGTCCATCTTCTGATGAGGAATGTAAAAAAAAAAAAAAAAAAGACAAAGCACTCTTTAGTCAGAATACTTGCTGTTTTTTATGCTGAGTGGACATAACACGTTTGCAGGCTGTGAATTTTAAGTGAGCAGATTGTGACAAGCAATTGTTCGAACAGAGCAAAACTAAAGTTCATTTCAGACACTGTGCTTTGCTGTACATGTTTTTGAATCTGAACTGTACTGTGGGTGTGTAAGTGCTCAGTGTGGACAGCCATCGTGCTTCTCATGTGTTTAGTTGGTTTGACACACTTCATTATTTACTCTGTCTGTACCCAGTCAGAAGGAGACACATCTGCAGCAGATCTGTGTTTCTTTGAGAGGTAATCCATCGTCACCGGTACCTCAATCTCCAGTATTCAACAGGGTCTAACACACAACAGGACCTCACACACTTACTTTAAGAAACCATCCTCATCCTCACCGCAGGAACCTCACTGGCTATTGTTTTGTAAACCCATTCAGTGCAATAGACCAGGGGTACAGAACTCAGTTTAGTTCCAACCCTGCACCAACACATATACAATGTCGTTTTCAAATAAGCCTGAAGGACTTGATCAGCTGGATCAGGTGTGTTTAATTGGAGCTTAACTCTGCAGGGCTGTGGACCTCCAGAAACTGAGTTCTGCACCCCTGCAACAGACCGCAATTTTATGTTTGATAAGTGATATATAGCTGTATTTTTCTTCTTTAAAAAGGATTTTATCTGCATTCTCTATCACAAATAGCTCTGTATAATGACAAAGACAATGATGCTTGCACAAATGTTTGTCTTTGTCTTTTTCTTGCTCATAAAGCAAAATCTATGTGCTTTTACTCGATTTTGAACACTATACTTCTACGGGAAGTTGTTAAGGTGCCCTCTCCTTTATGGGTCAGTGATGCAGAATTGCTGTTAAATCATCCTTTGTAGCATTGTACATTATCCTTCTATGAAACTGTCCTAGTACCAACCTGTAATGGATGTGAAAGGCCTGTGAGGTTTTTCCCCTACAATGCCTCTGTTCAGTGGGTGCAATGCAGACTGTGTTTTCTTCTTTTTTTTATATTTCAACTTTATTTGAAGAAAAATTCAGCAATTTTAACTGATTCTCAAACCGCTGACATAATTGGACTTTGGCTTGGTCAATATATATATATATATATATATATATATTTATTTTATTTATTTATTTTTTTTTCAAGATGTTTGCTTTGAGCAATTATATTTGCATGTAGTGAAATTGAACAATTAAGGTCATATTTTCACATGCAGGAACCAAGTGAAAACGATTAATAAACAAATTTCCTGTTTGCAGCTATACAATCAAAATATATGTGTGTTCAATACCGAAAGCAAAACGTGTGGGAGGAGTTTAAAAGTAACTCAGGTATGTGTGCTACTTTTCACTTTAAAAATGTTTAATAAATGATTGTTGTCTGTTGTAAAGACCTCTTGTGTTTGATTATTTGTGACAAAACTGTAATTATCATTGGCTACTCAAAGAGGGCTTACTGTAACTGATACCACAGCACAAAACAAGTAGCTATAGCCAGAAAGGCAGGTTAGATTTAATAGCAAATAAATACCAGGAATGTATATGTGTCAGAGCAGCTATGATGTGTATAGAGAGAGAAGGGCATATATGTTTGAATTTGAAAGGAATAGTATGATGAAAATGTTGTCATTATTTACTCACCCTCATGTCGTTCCAAACCTGTATGAGCTTCTTTCTTATGTCGAACACAAAAAGAAGATATTTTGAAGAATGCTGGTAACCAAACAGTTGATGGTCCCCATTGGCTTCCATATATAATTTCTATCACTATTGAAGTCAAATGGGTACCAACAACGGTTTGGGTCTTCAAAATTCTTCTGTTGTGTTCAAAATAAGAAAGAAACTCACACAGATTTGGAACGGCATGAGGGTGAGTAAATGATGACAATTTTTGGGTGAACTATTCCTTTAATTTGACACTGCATAAACTACGATCACCAGTACCACTAGAAGGCAGAAGATACTAATAAGATGATGAAAACTGAATCGACTTGCCAACTAACTGCTAACATTTAGATGATAAAAACAGATTAACTGAAAATTGTAAACACTTATTTAGCTATTAATCACTTCAAATTTATATATTTAGGTATTATCAACACAGCCTTCCTTCCGTCCAGCCTGTCGTTTAGCTGGCAGAGCTGTCGCAGGAATCCATCATTGGGCCCGATCTCCCGTTTCTCTCTCACTGTGGCCACAGCAGCTCGTACATCCATCCTGTGCTGCAGCATCAGGTGTGCGATAACTAGTGCAGCCGAACGACTGTAGCCTTTCTGACAGTGTACATACACTTTACCTACAAGAAAAATGAGAGACTGTGACTATTTTATTGGATAACATTGAGCACAACATAGGCTATTCGATTCTCAAAGCAACTGTCAAGATTTTAAAGTCAAGACACCCTGCTGAAAAAAACTATAGAAACCATCAGAGAAATAGCCTACTAATGGTTTCCACTACAAATACCATCACAAACCATCAACTTTTAACCATTAAAACCATTTCCTGTCATGTGTTTTGGTTTTGGGACAGGTTTTAACAAGCCACCGATAGAAGGCGACCAATTAGGCTACCAGTAAAGACCAACAGGGTTCACAGTTTCCATTAAAACCAATACTATTTCAATAACCAGTAAAACCATTACAAATTCTGCCATGGTTCCTTTTTCTTTTTTTTCAGCAGGGCACTCAACATTGGGCGTGGAAAAAAGCAACAGAAAACGTAAGTATTTTATGAGTTGAAGATTTCGTGTGAATATTAACGTATAGAATTGATGTGCATGAAAAGGTAAGATTTTTAGAAAATCTAATCTAAATCTAACCCTCAAACTGATCCTACAAAAACGTATACGACTGAGACCGTACGAATCCACCAAAACGCAAATAGCGACAAATCGCCATGAGAGTGTGTTGGAAAAACTAAAAGGAAAGAAAAAAAAAAAAAAAACATTGAATCGAACAGAATTTTGATTTGTATTCTAATCTTGAATTATAAACAAAGTCCCTTTAAGGCAAGTCATGTCACTCGGCGGCCATCTTTGAAACGCCTCTCGGGCATGCGAGTGTAGCTCCTATCTCTTTGAATGGGGAAACATCAAATTCTCCAAAACTGTACACTAAGCTGACGATTAAATTTCATATTTGAAATCACCAATGAAATCTGACAACAACTGTATCATAAATGTTGTTTATTTTGCTCAAATAGCGTTAAATAAAGCTTATTTTTCAGGCTAGATCAGCCAGTGCGCATGCGCAGCCCTAACCGCACGTATCAGAGCGTTGACTGTTTCTATAGCAACCGGGACTTCTAACGGCAGCTGCAGTGACGCGTTGACTTTACCGATTAGCAATTGGCTCTTTTGCTCAGAAGGCGGGGCTTTGTTCGATAGAGCGGCCATATTTCCCCATTCAAAACAATAAGAGTGACACGTCTTGGGTAGAGCCGTTCAACGGCTCTGGTTATAAGTAGTTCTCACGAATTTGATTGGTCGAACGGCGCTAGAAGGCTACTGAGACTTTTCACTGTCTGTGTGTGTATCACTCCGCTTGTTCGCCAATTCTCACTGTCCTTCTGCAGCGGTGGGGATTTTTCCGTAAATCTGTTCTGCAGGTTACATATTACCAGTAGGTGGCAAGATGTTTCTTCATGAGCGAGGCACATTCATTCAAAAGCACTGCTTCATTCAAGCAAGAACATTTTCTGAATGAGTTATTGAATAATTCACTCAATATTAGTAGAAAAACACTGATTCGTTCAAAAAGTACTGCGTGTGGCTTGGAAATGCGCGGCGGTTATGCTTTGGCTTCCTCTGGCGGACAAAAATACACAATAGCTATACTGCATCTAAAATGTAAGTTAACTTCTTGTTTACGCTAACAATCATGTTATTGCTCTTACAGTTTTTTGTTTTTTTTACCATCGCTATGACAATTTTTTCAATACTTTTAACAATTTTCTTAAACTCAATGCAGTTAGCTCAACATTTGTCAGACTCAGTGTAGGCAATACAAACGCATTTCTTGTTGCTTTGACACAAAATGCTTACAGTTAACACAAATTTAAAATGCTAGAACTTCTTTTACAAACAAGCTCAACCAAGACCCAAACAATGGCTTTTTACTGCCAAATTTACACATGCTTTCTCACTGTATGTCAGAACACATAACATCATGTTCTAAACCTAACTTATAGGCTAAAGTCAAAGTAAACAGCTGTTCATATTGTGAATTGAAACTCAAATATATCCCCTGTTTTTTATTCATTAATGAGAAACAGCTGATTGAAGTGTTGCAAATATATAAATTATAGCTGATTCCCATCTAGGAAGCACACTCAGGTGTTGAGGTTTTCAATCGCATGATCATACGGTATACAGTAAAAGAGGACCTCTTTGGGCTGATCTTGTCTGAAAAAGTGCACTCCTGCATAAATGTGAGATTTTAGAAGACCTGCACGAAAGACTGGTGCCAGAGGTAGAAAGGTGACTGGTGGGAAACCACTTGCCAATATATGTGATCACATGAAACAATGTGGCATTCCACCATTCCCGTGCAGTCACATACTGGTTTGACACCCATTCGAGAATGATGTCCATTTTCCTTGCCCCTTACTCCACTTTCCTCAACCTCATTGAGGAGTTTTTCTCAGCCTGGAGATGGAAGAATTTTGACCATCATCCACAGGACCAAATGTCCCTCCTGGATGCAGCATGCCAAGACATCACAGCTGAACACTGCCAGGGGTGGATAAGGCATACCAAAAGATGCCTTGCCAGAGAAGAAGATATCAGGTGTGATGTGGATGAGAACATGTGGCCGAATGCAGAATAGAGCAGATTAGAAGATTACTTTTTATTTATTTATTTATTCTTCTGTGGCTTTTTATGTTTGTATATTTTATATTTTCACATGGCCACTGTATTGCACATTTTTGTTATCTTGCAGTAATGTCATGTTGCAAATAAAGCCTTTACTTCAGTAATTCGGTCTCTGTCTTCTTTTTTCATAAACCGTACATTCTATAAAGCTACTCTAAGATGGGTCATTCATTTTTTTTTAAATTGAATTTCTGCAGCAAAAGAAACAAAATGCATGCATTTACCAAACTCTACAAAACAAAAATGTAGAGAGGCTTAAAAAAAAACTGCAAAACCCAATCTATGATCAATACAATATATTATTTTATAAGGGAAAATCTGACACATAAAATAAGGCAGTTTCTGTAATTCCGTCTGATATTCGTGTTTTTATGACATTGTGCTATGATTGACTAAATGTTCCTGATGGAAGAGAACACGTGTTAGTGCTTTGGAATAATTATTTGATTTTGAGATATGTTTGCAGTGTTTTGGTAGACAAGGTGTATTGTGTTAGTGTATTATTGTATTTTGAAAATTAGTGTTGGAGTTTAGTTTACAATGTGTGATTTTTGAGCATGAAATTAACTGTTTTGCCAATTGTGTGTTGTAGGTGTGTTGGTGCGTTAAGAGTTTAGGAAAATTGTTATGAGAATTGAAAAAATTGTCATAGCGATTGTAAAAAAAAAACTGTAATAGCACTCTTGCTAGTGTGATGTTGCTTATGCTTGCATTATATTGTCTGGATTAAGCAGGTTGCTGTAGTTAAGTGAAGGAAACCCTTCTTACAGAGTTGATGTTGATGAAGCATATCCAAGTTAGCAGTGAGAGCTGGCAGCAAGCAACCATTTTATTATTATTGGGTCACTGAAACATTAAAGGGGTCATATGATGTTGCTAAAAAGAACATTATTTTGTGTATTTGGTGTAATGCAATGTGTTTATGTGGTTTAAGGTTAAAAAAACACATTATTTTCCACATACTGTACATTATTGTTTCTCCTCTATGCCCCGCCTTTCTGAAATGCGTTGATTTTTACAAAGCTCATCGGTCTGAAAAGCGAGGTGTGCTGTGATTGGCCAGCTATCCAGTGCGTTGTGATTGGCCGAATACCTCAAGCGTGTGACGGAAATGTAATGTCCCTTAACATATTGTGATGCTTTACCATACTGTGATGCCGTCTCCCGGAGCATCCAGTGGGGACATACCGTATTGTCCCGAATATAAGACGATGTTTTTTTCTTGGAAATACATCTGAAAAAACGCGGTCGTCTTATATTCAGGGTCTACTCTTTGACATGTCAATAATACACCCACAACACTAGGTGGAAAATAGGAAAAATATGCAATATGAAAATAATTGAAGACAAAATGTGTTTTACTGAGAAAAAACAAGATTTGGTTTTTAAAAAGCCTTTTTCCAAAAGGTACATCTGGAAAAAGGGGGGTCATCTTATAATCAGGGTCGTCTTATATTCGGGCCAATACGGTAATTACGGATTATAATGACTTATACTGTCTTTTTACGCGTTGTGTATTGCGCCGCGTAAACATAAAACCATGTCTGCAACCGTCCTCCTTAAAATGCGTCACACAGCATCACACACGGTGGGCTTGAGTGAGCGGAGGCGGGCGGCATTGAGAACGGCGCGGCCGGCGGATTCGACGAAGGAGGTTTGCGGCAACCACATGTAGCGACCCCGGTGGGGGGTGTTTAAACGAGCCGTTTTAGGAGGGCGTGGACAAGTCTTAACTTATATAAAGAATATCTCTTTGGATTTGAGACTTTAGTCTTTGTAACTTTACATATCTTCTTTATGCACCAAGAGCTTGTTACACTCCATAGAGAAAGGAAAATTTGAAATCGCATCATATGACCCCTTTAAAAAGATTGAGGATACTAAAGAGTCCGTTTTCCCAAAAATGAAACTTCTGTCATAATTTATTAACCCTCATGTCATTCCAAACCTGCATGACTTTCTTTCTACTATGGAACATAAAAGATAATTTGAGAAATATCTGAGTATTTTTGGTTCATCATACAATAGAAGTCAACTGTAACCAAAACAGTTTGGTTACCAACATTCTTCAAAATATCTTCTAGTTCTGCAAAAGAAAGAAGGTCATACAGGTTTGAAACGACATGAGGGTGAGTAAATGATGACAGAATTAAAATTTTTGGGTGAACTATCCCTTTAACAGAATGCTTTATTAATGAGCATAGCGCTGAAGAACCAAATGCAATACCACTGCCGCTGAATGAGGGATGAGAAAAAGATATTCATTTTAAGTACTTCTTTTTACCAAGACCCTTCAGACCTTGCATTGCCAAAGTTGTTTCAATGAAATTAGAAGCCTCTTCAAAATATACACTGAGGTCAAAATGGTCAGTGTCAAAGGCTGGTATCCCATGATAGATGATCCCCGTGTCTGCATAGAACTCTGCATCCGTGTTCACATGCATATCCGATTGGCCTTCTGCAGCATTGAGGATGTGTGTCACTCCCAGCTGATGCAAACGTGTTACATTTGTAGCTACAGACCTGTAATATAACAGCTACATCAATTCAAGTGGTCTTTTTCACTCTCTCAGTCAGTGTGTGAAAGCATCAAGCATTAGAGGGCGTCCTTCACATATGGAAAATAGGCCATGTTTATTTAAAGGCTTGCCCTTGAGAATTTGCAACAGGATACATGAACATGTTTTGAATCTCAACTTATCAGATAAGAGAGGCTAAACGTATGATTGCAAAATGTAAATGTTTGTTGAGCACCGCTGCTATAATACTTATAATTAAGGGTATGAAAAAAGAAAATAATCCATATATCTGGAGGCTATGTGAGGATTTACTCATTTCCTAGGAGTATCCCTGGGTAGACTTCATTAAAATGTTTGGAGGGCATACAAAAGTCTCCATTTTCATCTGTCAACAGATCATTGAGCTGCTGAACAGACACTTCATAGTCTATCATGTTCAGCTCAAGATAAATTGCCTTTAGAAAACGCTGTTCCTCAGGCCTCAATGCTGACGTGATTTTCTGTAATCCAGTTCCATCTTCATTGTGGTGCCTTTTAGAGTAATAAATAATGGCCTAGTGTTTTCAGTCCAGTGGTCAGTATTCAACTCAACATAATTCTAGAGCGGTTTAGATCTGTTAGTTATTTTGTGTGTGTTAGGCCTAGAGAAAGTTAACTACAGCCAAACGCTCAAAGCTGATACCCTCTTTGTGTGTTTCAAACCACTAGGTGGCATCAGACAGTCAACATACTCAACATGAATATAAATATAGCTTGGCTTTGAAAAATGTGACCCTGGACCACAAAACCAGTAAACATGATCTTTACTTAATATACTAATGATTTTTGGCATAAAAGAAAAATCGATCATTTTGACCCATACACTGTTTTTTTGGCTATTGCTACAAATATACCCCAGCGACTTAAGACTGCTTTTGTGCTCCGGGGTCACAAATGATATTTTTAGACTTTTGAGACATTTAGATTAAATCCATTTGGCATGTTTACATGTCCTGTGGCGTGACATGCTATATACTCCATCTAAATTTTTTTAAACATCATTCTGTTAATTATTTTATAATTATTATGCATGCAACTTTATTTTTTTCATTTAACTTTATTTATTTGTTTTGTGTTTATATTAGATTTTATTGTATCAACTAAGAGACCACATGGAATAATTGTAGTTTTAAAAATTAATTGTCACACGGCAGGGACATAAAACTTGTAATAATAATTACAAAAAATTAAAATATAATAAAAATATATAAATATAAAACAAAAAAAAAAAATATATATATATATATATATATAATTCCTAAAAAATGAATCTGAAATTCCTGACAATGAAATATTGAGGACATTATATTAATAAAAGGGTCAAACTGAGATTTCAAGATTTCAAGACTAAAACTGTAAGGAAGAAAAAAATGCAATAGACTGATAAATAGTCAAGAAGAATGACTGAGGTTGCAGGCTTTGAAATACAGTATAGACGTACATGACAATCAGACAATGGCATTTTATTAAAATTTACAGGAGTTTACAAAATCCACTTTTAGGGTAGGGTTGCTTATTCAGTCTTTTTTTAAAAATCCACCACAAAAAACAAAACAAAAAAACCTGCAAGCAAAAATGTCAGCATTGTAAATCTTCATGAAGAAAATACTGGGGAGGAACTTGAAGAAAGTTTGGCTGTGAGTAAACAGTGCTAAAAAGGGCTGGTGTGATCTGAAACAGAGCGAAATGGTCAGATCAGTAAAGGGTATACGAATACACTGTAGATTTTCCGAAACATCCCATCACATCATCTGAGTTCTGGCCATTGGGTCTTGATGATGACCAGGGTACCAGTGTCCAAAAGAGTTCATATATCCTCCAGAGTGCACGGGGGCACCTTTGGTTGACATGGAAACATCCCACAGGGGTGGCATTCCTGGTGAACACGGTGTTGCAGAAGCTGCTTGAAGGTGTTCTCCTTCTGGTCCACTTGAGCCATGCTTCATGATCTTTTTGTACTTGGAACGTTTGTTCTGGAACCATATCTTTACCTGCAACATTTGCATTTGGATTAACATTTGTTATTACAACACATGTTTTCATCTGTTTACAAGTATATGATAAACTTTATTTTATTATTGATTACACAAAAGATTGGAAGGAATTATAAAAATAAATGCAGAACAGTAAGCATTGTTTGGGTAGGATGCATGTATGGTGACGTTTCAGACATTGACCGTATATTTTTTAAATATAAGTTATTTAAATATAAATTTTTTAATAAAAGTTATTATCAAAATCAGCCATCCAAATAAACAGACTAAAATTCAGAGAAACGCATAGACCACAAACATACTGCTCTAATTATGAACAATATACAATGCAAATAAAACACCCTGATCACCTTTTTTTTTAAGTAGCTTTGGGCTTTTTGGTTGGTTTTTGCACTTTGTTTAACACACAATTTTTGTCATGTTATGGCATCTCTTTTTAAAATTTTGAATGCACTTTGATGCATGTTCTGACCTCTGACTTATATTGAGCTTGAAAATGTCAGAATTCCTCATCTGTTCTTTTGATTAAATGTGCATTAGTGAAGAGAATGTAAATATTTACTGCAATATAAATGTCAATGTTCATCTATGTTTTTTAAAGGTGGGGTGCTTTAATACTAAACACAATAATGCTAAGTAGGATACTGTCAATTTTTAAATCAAATAAAAGAGCATTCTGTGTGTTCTTCAATATCCATGAGCCATTTTTCTCAAGTACTGTTAGAAAATAGAAACTTGAGTTGTGTGGGCAAATTACTAGTTCAGCCAGTTGAATGAACTGAACATAACAAGTAACATGAAATATTCTTGGAAAAGTTACCTGGCTGCCTTAAAAAGATAAGTTAATTCAACAAGATGCTTAGTTTAGCCAATTTTTATTTAGTTTGCACAACTTATAATTATAAATGTATTCAACAAAATGCTTATTTTAAACAACTAAACGTTTGTTGGTCTGACTAATTTTATGTTGTTTCAACTTGGAGGTTAGGTTAGCACAACTTTCTTGTCTTGTTTGGCTAACTAAAAACTTGTTGGTTAGACAAAGTATAAAGTTGATTCAGCTTCACCTTTGTTAACCCAACTATTAATTATAGGTTTAAGGAACTCCAACATATGTTTAAACAACAAAAGTTTTTTAGCTTATTTAACACAACATTTTGAGGCAGCCAGGTTACAAATTATTTGAAGTTGAATCAACTTGTTATTTTTTACAGTGAATCTAATGCATCACAAAAGGACTTCTGAGCCATTTTTCAGATCAAAATTATGAAGTTACTTATTTATATAAGTAAATAAAGTACTGTAAAGCCCCCTCCCCCCATTTGAAACCACATTTTACTATAAAGGGACATGGTATCTTGTTAAATACAGGTTTTCACAGTAAATTGTTATATAGTTCTTTTTAAACAAGTAATGTTTTACAGTAAAATTACATGTATTTTCCTACATTTTATTAACTTTTACAGTATCAACCACAGGGAAGTTACACTTTTCCTTGTCTTTTTGTAGACTTCACGTAGAGTTCTACAAACACAGATTTTCAGTATCAGAAGAATAAGCAGAAGAATTTCTGCCAGCTTTGAGTCAGCATGATTAATTTTTATTTTTTTTTACACAACAAGACTTCTGCCAACACCAGCTTGAGCTGGCTGCAAGTGAGAAGGGGGAAAAGCTTGAAACAAAACTCCAAACGTTATTGCTGTTACGTAATCACTCCAAAATTTAACCCAGAACTCTCCCTTGCACAAACTTGTGCATGCCTTTTTTTTAAAGAATATATGATATAAACAAGCCATGATATTATACTTATGGTGTTTTAAATTTCTTAATTGTGTGACCAATGTGGAAAATTCATACTAATGGTGAATTTACAATCAAAGTGACACCCACAGAGCTGTAAAATCTTCTATAATGAAACATAATTAAAGATGTTTTCCAAGAGACTTTTAAGCTGGATAAAAGTCCAATTACCCTTACCGTTTTTTTTTGACACCCAAAGTAATTATTCTAATTTAGGCTTTCACAATTTTTTTTTTAATGTGATGTTCATCTTGCCGCATTCAGAACACTTCTGGTATGTGGTGATGCTTTCATTTTTATTACTAAAATTATGTCTGCATGTATCAGAAAGTAGATGAAATGAGCCGCCAGAGGCAACATTCAACACTTTTTGATTGCAGTAATGACAGAATCTCAATAGCTAATAAAGAGTATTTGGCTCTGCAAACTGGCCACACACTATCACGCACACATCTTTTTGATATGTGTGTCAGTTCTGCTGAATATTTGTCCTGCTGAACAGATACTTATCAGTAAATGTCCTCAAGAGAAAACAATAACACTAGTCAATGAAAAATGTGTTTCCAAACAAAACAACAGAGTATTTATAATGCAATTGTATTGGAGATTTAATATATGCTACACAAAAAAATAATACTGTTCATTTAGAGTAAAGTTATGATAGTAAGTGCAATTAGTAGGAATGGTCATAATGTTTTTTTTTAAATAATGTATAAATTATTTTCATACCATAAATTTTGCTTTTAGTTTCACTTCCACTCTTTGTTTAATTTTAAAAATGTAATAATTCCACTGATCTATATATAATCTCTATTACAGATCAGTGAATAATTCATATTTTTATATTTGCAGCACTCCCAGACCCAGACTTTCAATCTATACAAAAAAGGCATTTGAAAAGCTAAATAAATGGAAATAAATGAAAAGTTTTCATACAAATCATATAAAAGTAACTGTAATTGAAAAAACCCCCCACCAAATTTATGATTCACTAAATTGCTTTCTGAATTACATACGTTTTCATTGTTTCGAAGTTAGACTTTGTGTGTGGGTGGATGGTTTGTAATTTTTCTAGAAGCTTCAGAGTGTCCTTTCATTACAGTTACTGAAATGTAGGGTGAAGTCAGGTGAACTGGGCCACCGTGTAAAAGGGGTCAGAAGGTTGGCATAGAGAGGAGTTGAGTGAAAAAGTTAAATGGGGGAATATACTTTTCAATAAGATATATTCGTATTGTAAGTTTGATATTTTATTTTATTATTTATTTTTGAAAATGTTTAGCTTTGCTAAATTATGCTATGATTTATATGTTGCTGCCCATTTTAACTTAATTCCAGGATATGTTTGAATGTTTCCTTTCAATAAATCAGTTAGCACACGTTCACACATAAAAATTAAAAACACATTTTAGTATGTTACTTAATGTTGCTGAATATAAAACAAGAAATAATTATGACTTTAATAAGTCAGAATTTCAGAAATATTGGTGCTCTAAAGAGATTAACCCTAGAAAGCATGCTTGGAAAAAATCGAATGCATTAGATGCATATTCTTTCTAGGGCTGGACGATATGGCCAAAATTGATATCACGATATATTTCTTA